CAACAATCCAACTATTTTGTTTTCAATTCAAGTGGCTCTTCCTTTTTCAAAACAGTGCACCTTTCTCCTTATTTCATTAGTTCCACTCAAAAGCCAAACCAACCACCCCACACTTTAACTTTTACAAAGTTCATAAATAATTCAAGTGCTCATGAGAGGTTACAATGGTTCAAATAGATGGTTAATTCGAACAAATGGGTAAGGCTTGTAATGTGGTTGCCAAAGAAATAGGATTACAGGCTCAAAGGGGTTAACTACGATACATAATAATTAGGCGGGTAAAATATACATATCTGGCTCAACAAAGAAATGCCTATATCACTTCTTAGACTGAATAAAACTACTATTTCGCTTTGCAAACACACGGGGCAAGTTCTAGGCATCAAATGCAATGCACAGAATATCACAAAACCTTACACACACATGGCACATAACTCACTCAGGATTGGATTCATCAAGACACCCTAGTCAGAGCAGTTAAGCAAATTTAAGATCATACAATTTAAGGTACTTATACAAGAGCCAAAAACTGAGCCTAAGCGTCACAACCAAAGTACTCACTATTCTCAAGGCATAACAAAGTCAAGAGATATTGCTTCATTTCAAAACAAAACACAATGGCTCCTATTCCCCAAAAAAACTAACTACACCCGGTTCAAATAAAACCCTTGGAAAAGAACCGTGGCCCAAAGAAAAATCAAGGGGGAGTTACTACACTACCTAAAACAAAACAAAAAATCTTTTTGGTATTTTCTTTAGACTTACGTCCCTCAAGAAAACTGTCTAGAAGATCCGTCATCAGGAAAGTCCAATCTTTTAAAAAATCCCAAACACAGCTAATGTAGCATGAAAAACAACCCAGACAATCTCCTCACCCCACACTTAAAATTGTGCATTGTCTCCAATGCACATCCATACATACAAGAAGGTAAAAGAAACTCCCTGGTAGGCCAAAGGCCGAAGCACTAGCAGCTCATGGGGTACTCAGACTTCTCCCAGCTTGGTCCTTCGTGCGGGTACCTCACACTTAGTTCCAACCATTTCATTTATCGGTGCATCCTTCCAATACCTTTGCTTTCCATGCTCCTAGAAAATAAAAAAATTGACACTACAAAAATAATATAATAAAAAAAATATAAAAAAATAAAAGAAAGCAATAAAGCTGGGTTGCCTCCCAACGAGCGCTTGATTTAACGTCGCGGCACGATGTGAATCACTTTCTACCTCCACTTTGAACTTATGAATCGGACCCCAAGTTTTGATTCTGCTCTATGATCATGCTCCTGGGATGGTGGAACGAATCTGGCTGGCCCAATAAAGTAATGTAGTATTCTGCACTTCTTGGCCTTTATATGAGGTGTGTAATCCCGACTTTCTGGCAAGAAGAATTCCAGAATGTAAGCACTTTGTTCCTCATTCCTTGACTCCTCAAATGGCTCGGACGACTCTATTTCCATATCATCATCTAAACACAATGTGAAAAAATGCTTGGAGTGAGGACTCGTGCGCTCAACTACATGAACATTGGGACTATCTACATTCTCAACACTAATGACAATAGAGTCAACTAAATATGTATCCTCAATATCCTTGGTTGACTCTAGTATGTCTTCTACAACATCGACATCCTCAAAATCTAGTGTGATTGATTGTTGGTGTTCTACTCTAGCCTCCTCCTCTAGCTCATCAATTTCTGTATCTAATTCACGCTCTTCTTGGATACTATTCACAATATTGGCTTGTTGAGCATTAAAAACTTCAACCAGTTGACTCATGTGAACTTTCAAGTTGTGAATAGTTTCCTCCTGCCTTTCTATCCGCAGTAGTAATTTACTCTGTTGTTCCAAAATGTACTTTAACATATCTTCGAGCTTCTTTAGGTCAGCTTCCCTAGGTTCTTTGTTCCTATTAACTTCACCAGAAAAAGAAGAACCATCAAAGTAAGGGGTTGGGGGAAGGTAAGAAATATAAGCACAACCGTGAAAGTGACCATCTTGACCACCACACATATCACACACATTCCACACATAAGATTGAGTTGGTGCACAAAACTCGCTCTCAGGAATATTTTGATAATTTTGCCCTGGGTGGTTTCCTTCACAATATGCATAAGGAGGATCAAAAGTAGAATTACCAACAACAAAATTCTCATAATTCCATGATGTCATGTTTCTCAAATAAATAAATAAAACTAAAATAAAAAAAATAAAAAAAATCAAATAATAAAATAAAAGTTCAAACTTGAAACCTAGCAATATGTACACCTACAACTACACCGTTAGTTCCCCGGCAACGGCGCCAAAATTTGATCACGCCCAACTATGCCTTATAAAAAGGACAATGCGGTCGCTGCAAATATAATCCGGTTTACAAGTCCGGAGTCGAATCCCACAGAGAACTAAGGTTTAGCTACAGCTGTTCATTATCACCAAGAAGACAAGCTTGAACAATTCCTAACTTATAGATATTAAGATTCTTGTGTTTAACTAATTAACTAACAAATTAAAATAGTAAATTAACAACTAACGATACTGAGGGTTAGAGAAAAGATTAAGGAGGTCTAGAGTTATGATTTCCCCAATTGTCGGAATCCTTCCCGCTATGTCTTCTATAATTTCGCCTAAGTATTCTCTACCGATCATGAGCACTCTTATTACCATAAATCTCTCCCGAGTAATTACGATAATTTACTAGACGCACTCTCCCGAGCTACGCTAGCTGGCTTTTAATACAGCTCACTTCAAATCGCACCCAAGGCTTCGTTATCCCTAATCCCGCCTTTAAACCCTCGGTTATTGATCCCTCATATACTTTGGGAGTGATGTTGTTTAACAATTACCTAAATATGCACTCTCTCCCGAGTTATGCATACTAAATAGGCACAGCTAATTGAGGATCCTGTCAATTAAATACAACAAACACGAAGTTGAACAAATAGAGAAAATACTACGGCTCAATTATATAAAAATAACAAGAATTTATCCTACAAAAGGTTCCATCAAAACCCTAGATAACAAATTAGCTATTCATAATAGCATGTAAAACTACAATACTAAAAGTCATAACCAACAATGAAAAATAGGAAGAGAAAGGAAAAACTCGTAGAAGAATTCTCCGCCTTGCTCCCAATGTGTTCTTGCCTCCTTAGGTCGAATCTATGTCCAAAATATGTCCCCTCTAAGCGTGGTGTGTGTTCCTCCACGTGAATTCTCCTCCAAAATATGTTCGATCCTCCCAAAGTGGCATCCTCCCGTGTATATATACCAAGTAGGGTTAGGCCCAAACAATTATACCTTCTCCAATGTGAAAAAGGACACTTTTCCCGGGTCAGACGCGCGACTTCGCGCACCTTTCTGCCTCAATCTTTTTAGCGCGCGAACTTTGCGCAACTTCGCGCGTTCTTCGCGCGTTTTCACCCTGTTCCGTTCCGAATATGGAAAAACGTAAAACATGAAAGTTGTAGCCCTTTGAGTTAGCTTTCCAACCATATATTGTGGAGCCAAAATGGAGTTCTGAGCAAAAAGTTATGTGCATTTTACTAGACAGTGCGCAATATGCCTACTCGAGTCTTCGTTTTGTTGTTTTATCATCCGTTGATCCCCGAATACGATCCCGGCTTAATTCCTTGAGCTTTTACTCAGACTTCAGCTTCAAATCACTTAAGTTCATTCCATAACATCTATATAGCTCGGAATCACACCTACAAGGCATAAAACACACCGTTAGTGCAAAACACTAGCGATTAAAGCGCAAACTCAATTAAAGTGCAGTAAATTCGAGTGTAATAAGCGACTAAAATATGCAATTATAGCCTATCATCATGGCACATAAGAATCTTGTGACTGGATTAATTGATAAACTATAGAAGACAGCGTTTTCAAAAACTTTGATGTATGTTAGATTTAATGGAATGTCTCCTCTTCTTCTTTTTTATTGTATTGGGCATTTAATATCAAATATTGTCAATGTATGTTTTATGAGTCTAAATTTGTGAGATGATTTTTTTTTTTCCATTTCCACGTTTTTAGAGACTAGATTGCTTAGGATTTTTTTCCTGTTTCAATTTCATGAGTAGGAAAAGGAAGAAAATCGAGAAAGACGAAAAAGAAATAATTTTACAAAAAGTAAGGCGGAAAAGAGAGAAAAGGGGATAGAAGAAAAAATACAGAAAAATGGGGAGTAATGGCGATTTGTCTTTTTGATATTTTTAACTATATTTGCAAATTTTCCTCTCATTTTAGCCGAAAGCTACAATTGAGTTTTCTCTCTTTCTATATTTAACTGAATGAATGCGATAAATTGAAAGTATAATCGTATGAAGAGGGAGAACAAGGGCCTAAAAATATAATATAGGGAATGGATAGAAAAGAAAAGATGAAGAAGCAATGAAAAACAAGAGAGAAAGAATAGGAAAAATTAAGTACATAATGAAAATGGATTCAATGAATGTACACCAAAATTGCCACTTAGTTATTATATATTGTTTTCTTTTTGTTATTTTTAAAACTTTTTATTTCGTAGTTCTTTTAGTTGAATTGAAGAAATTTTAGAAAAAAAACAAGTCTTACTATCTAATGAAAAAATCGGCTAATAAAATATTTTATCTCTTACTATACTAAATTTTGTTAAAAATCATTTAAATTCAATGATAATTTTGCAGAAATTTCACTAGTCGATACATAAAACTGGTAGTTCAACTTTAAAACAAAAACTTGAAGTTGGCTTAACTTAAGTTGCTACGTTTTAAATATTTTATACAAAGTGGTTGCCTCTTAAATGACACTGTGCAAATAGGTAATTTCTACCTCAAAAACTACATACTCCATATCATTAAGTGCCTACTATCCTGCTCCCATTTATTTCTTTAACTTTATGTTCAATTAAACAACATCACTATATAAATGAAACAAAGATCTGCCATGAAACCTTATTAATTAGTATATCCTTGCTTTTCTAGCTATCCAAGACACAGCTAAAACTAGTATTTTGTCCAAAAAATGGAGACAAATCTGGGCCATACTTTTAAATCTGGTGTTGAACAAGCTCTTTCGCAATAAATAAGCAGTAAACTATTTCTATTTTGCAATAAATAATACAGCTATGCAACAAAATACACCTATTCACCTTAAGTGTGAACTTTGTAGATGAGATAGAAGAGTCTGGGAAACCATATCATCTCAGAGCTTCCTCAATAAACTCCCAGCTGACTATGTCATAGGCCTTTCTTAGGTCTATTTACATGGGGTGAGGTTTTCCTATTGTAATGTCTTAGCAATCAGAACATTATGCACCGGTGTCTCGCCTCTACAAGAGCAGCCTGGTTCTCAGCTACTATTGGAACAATTCTGCTTTCCTCAATCTCTTACAAATCATCTTGGAAATGTATTTATAGATAACATCACAACATGCAATAGGTCTGAATTGAGCTGCTTTCTGAGGCACAGCCATATACCACACTTGAAAGCAAGAAACTGTTAATACAGAGTTAGCTGTAGCGCAGATTCAGCAGGAGATCACTTGAAGTATTCAAAGAAAGCTACTTGGAGTATTCAGAAATTTTGTAACTAGTATGTACTGTTAGATGGAGGCTTGAAAGATGTCAAGACCCTTCCTATTCCTAGAAGGTGGTTACATGTTTTAAGTGCTCTTTATTTTTGTATATATTACCAAAAAAAAAATCCTTAGAGCAAAATTTAAAATCTGAAACGAACTCTTTCAAAATAAACTAAAGAAATCTCATGTTCCTTCTCAATGTTTTTCTCTTTTCCTGTCAACGCAGATAAAATTCATTAATTTTCTGTTATCATTCCATCATGTAATGTAACTAAAGTGCTAGCCATTGGCATCTAGTACTATCCAAGATCCAACGTAGCCAATTGCATGTTTAAGTTTCTACCCTGTTCTAGTGATCTTTAACATTTTCCAGCCAACAACAGAAAGAAGAGAATCAGACAGCAATATCTAATAAACTAAAACATAGCAAAAATAGATTTTTGGTACTGCAATTCAAAGGGCATTACTGGTGCTTTCACATGATAAGAAAACATAATGTAAACCCTCTTGTAAAATGAGCATACAAATAGTTAGTCAGAACATTCGAATGTTGAGAGACTCAACTGAGTAAACAGTCAACAAATAAATCTCAAGTGTGAGGGTTTGCTCAAAAGGGGAATGTTTCTCCTGCCGGCGCTACAGTACTGCTTTTATGTACTTCACCATATATAAACCACAAATGCAAGTCTACTGTGGAAGCAGATTTTGTTCCTATGCAAGCATAAGAACAGTGTCAATTCGGTTTTATGTGGCATAACGAGAAACTGATGTAAAGCCATGAAATGCTTCCCTTTACCCTTGACGATTAATTCTAATTAATTAAACCAATTTTTTAGGGGAGTTGGCAGGGGGCAGGGGATTCTTCAGGCTAAAGTTTCACACACTTATAAATATGATAGCAGCCTGAGAAAGAGGACAAAGGTGCATCATTGATACTACTGCAGAAATAGTTACTTATCAGAATTGCAAGCATAGTTTCTCTAGACAAAGCAAATACAGTGGCTTTTGAATAATCTACAGGAGAAAGAGGATAAAGGTGGATAATACAGCAGACAATTCACTCCTACTGTAGCAAATAATTTTTTTTAATTCCCCTTCCCTTTGATCCCTTTCTGTTGGAGCTATTGCTCTTTTGGTGTTCACGACCCTCGGATTGTAGGTGAGGAGTGCTGACCATATGAGCAACCCCCTCTTGTCAGCAAATAAGTTAAAACCTGAAATTAACAGCATATTTCTGCATCGAGAATTCAGCAAGTATTTTCTTCGTAATAGTTACCTTCTTATACGATAAGTAATACTAAATCCTGATCTATAAAGTCTTTAGAGTCTAAATCAAGGAGATAGACAATATAAACTTCTTCGCCAAAATTTGAAGCACAGAAGATGAGCCAAAAATAATTCTAGATGAATTACTTTATTCTCAGATTAGCTCATGATTCAGAGAAGAGATGAAACATTCAACACTTCCTTTCGAGACAGCATAAGCTCAAAGTTAAATTACTCTTCTTATACTTCTCATTAGAGATCTGATAAACCGGAAAACAAGGATTGTTTTGCAAACCACTGTATATTTTCAGATAAAGTAATCACTGCATATTCTCTCCAGGAAGGGAGAATTTTCATTCACAAAACTCTAAGGGCCAGTAGCATTCATTTTACTGAATCATAAATGGGGGACCACATTCAAAATTCACACTAAAGAGTAAAGATTATTAAAAATGAACAAGAAAACGTAGAAATGTTTTTGTAATACCTGGATACAGACGAGCACTATCCGGACAATCATTTCGTGCATCAAGCATTATATTGACCCTCGGTTCCATTGCCAAAGGAAGGACAAACAAGACTTTCTATGAAGGTTCGAGCTTTATTCAAAGCAGGACTTACATCAACCATCAAATCCCACAACTCATTCTCTTTCATATTGTAGAGAACCAACTTTTCTTCGACATCCATTACAATATCATCATCAGTCATTGAACACAATGGTGTCCAAAAATAATCATGTAAACTCGGTGCCGTAAGCCTAAATATGGTCCAAGACTCCTTAACCCCATAGTCTTCCATCGAACAGATTGTGATTGTGTCTACAGTTAGATTGGTGAACATACAAAGACGCCCTCTAAGAGCCACAAGTTCAAACAAAGAGTAATTGTAATCCATAGCAGGTAGTGGCACCTCCAAGAATTTCTCATCACTTAAATGAAAAGCAGCAATTACACACGACTCATCAGAAGTTTTCTTACTAGCCAACCAATGCAAAGCCCCATTTACAAAAACCCCAGAAGCAAGGTCAGTTACTGAATGATCATAAGGAGAAATCTCAAGTCTCCTCCAAAGACCCTTTCTCACAGAGTAGATATCCACAAAAGTGTCAACTATAACAGTCTCATCCACATCATTATAATAAGAAATCGTAACCACCTTATAATCATCACTAACAACATCGTACCCTAAACCATACATGCTAAAACTACCAATGCCAGGCACAGGAAGAGCCAAATCAAAATTTGGAATTTTATGGTACTTTAAGGTAGTGGGGTTGATCAAATATTTAACCCCTTCCCTATTAATCGCCAAGACCAAGCCATTACATGAGCCATCAACACTTACCCAGTTGTCTGAGAGCTGCTGAAAATCAAGCTTTCTTGATATGGCATCAAAATCATCTTGGGTATTGTGGGTAAAGGTGATAGTGTGAAGAGAACAATCAACAACAATGAGCTTATCTTCTTCATGTTTGTGGGAATGGAGAGCGAGGTGAGCTTTGATGAATTGTGGGTCTGAGAGAAACTTGCTCCATTGCTTTGACACGCACCTAAATTGGCCTATGAACTTTGCAGGCAGCCACAATAGTATGTCAAATATGATTTCTTCAGGTATTTTTGCAGCGTTGTTCCTTGCCATAGTTGGGTGAATTTGGAGGAGAAACTACGTGCGGACTAGGGTTTTGACTAAATGCTTTTCCTGACTTCAAAGTAATGATTGGTTTAGATGTTTCTAATTGGAATTTTTACATTCCTATACCACATAATAAACCCTTTTACCCTCAATGTTTGAGGTTTGATTTAATTACACTTAGTATACCAAATTACTATTTCTATTCCATAACTAATTAAGGATATAATTAATGAGATATTTTTTACTCCTTAATTAAAGGGTTTCCGTTACCCGCCCAGTATCTCCACTCCTCCCTTACTTTCTCTCTCTGAATCCCTCACCCCCGTACCCACGTTCTTTTACCCATACCCAGTAAAAAGGTTGTGGAGAATTTGAGCATGTTTAACCAATTTCTATTATTTTCATTGTCATAAACGACGAGATTACAGTAAGTTAATAAACAAAATAATTGTGGTTTGAGTGATAATGGATACTGGTAGCAGAGGCGACCGAAGATTTGAAGGTGACGGGGGCACCATTATTTTTCAACATAGCTATACATATCTCTAGCTTTAAAGTTTAGCGTACAACTCTCTTGAAGGGTATATGAGGTCTTTTGATTTAGGAATTTAATTAGAAATAGAAGGGGGCAGGGAAGTTCGAGGGAACAAAAGCAAAAAAAAGTAATTAAAAAAAAAGTTATTTGTAGTTGTGACGTTATGCCTTTTGTAGTTGTAGATATTTTGTGGACAGAATAGTTTTATTGCTGTACTTTACTGTTTGTAGTGTAATTGTAGTTAGTTTGTAGTTTATGTAGAACATTACAAGATTAATTGTAGTCTAAAATGTAGATATAATGTAGACATGATTGTGGATGATGTGTTGCATGTTTGCCCTGTAACTGTAGGTAAATTGTAGTTATTTTTATATTAGGTACTTAAACTGTAGGTAATTCGTACATTCACTGTAGGTAAACTGTAGGTAAATTTGTTTAAATTGTAGAGCTGGTTTTATACATAATTGTAGAGTTTTTGTAGTTAATAGTAGTTATAATGTAGGATTCATGTTCCGCTTCTCACCATCTATCACAGTATGGATATGATTTGTTGAAGCCCTCACCTAGAATTACATAACAAACAGCAATAAAAATATTTACAATCATAAAATAGTTTATCTACAATTTATCTACAACGTATCTACAATAAGGCTGTATGGTGGGCTGGGCTGGGATCGGGACCGGACCGGGCCCGCGGTCTTAACGGGCTAAACGGTCCCGGCGGGCCGGTCCTGGTGGGCCGGTCCCTGGTGGTGTAAAAAGCCCGGGGCGGGCCGGTTCCTTACATCAAGCCCACGAGCCCGGGACCGCTAAGCCCGGGACCGGCAGGCCGGCCTGGGCCGGTTCAACCGGGCCTAACGGGCTCCAACGGCTCTTTTTAAAAAAAAAAAAAAAATTTTAAAAAAGACCAACGGTCAGATTTTTAAAATCTAGCCGTTGGCCTTCAATTTTCAACCGTTTGTAACTTTAAAAAATAACCATTTGGCCCCCAAACTTTATATAATTACACTTTTCCCCAATTCTCAACTATAAATACCCCCTCATTCTTTCATTTTTACTCACCAATTCATCAATCTATCTCAATCTCTCTCAATCTATATCTAATTTCTCTTCTATAATTGCTTATTTTATTATTGCAATTTCGTGAAAAATTGTGAAGTTGGTGAATTGAAGTATTCAAGTCTTCAAGTCTTCAACAATTTTCAATTTTTAAGAAGTTGTTCGGCAATTCGGTAAACTCGTTCCAACTCTTAAGTTTTAAGGATATATTTTTGTGTGTTTAGTTTGCATAATTGTAATTAATATGGCATTTTCTTTGAAAAAAATGTTTGGTGGTAAGGGAAAAGCTAAAATTGGTGAAAGAGTTTCCAACCTACTACCCTTCCCCAGGCTCCCCGACCCAGACCTGTTACCCGTCCTGCTGCTCCTATTATTGTTGATAGTGATAACCCTTGTTTTCAATTTTCCGATAGTGAATTTTGCCATAATGTTGCACCAGGTGAACAATTAAATGAAGAAGTTATGAATGCTCTTTATCCTAATCAAACTATCTTAGAAAATGATGAGAAAAATGAGGATGTAGATGAAACCCAACCGGATTTAGATGATACACCTACTAGTCCTGTTAATAACCCAACTGATGCCCCGCCCGACCCACCTGTAGAAACCCCTACTTTTAATAGACAACCTTCTAAACGCCTAGAAACATCAATAGTTTGGAATTTTTTTACTCAAGTAAGAGAACAAAATAAGGCTAAGTGTAAAACTTGTGGGAAATTGCTGGCGCATAAATATACTGGAGACCGTAGCGGTACGGGTAGTTTGGCTAGGCACATACAAACACACCCTAGAGATAAAGTTAAATATTTACAAATGAAAGCGCAGCAAGAGGGGACAAGTGTAGATACTGCGGTTAACCCTAGTACAGGTTCAAATCTAGTTCAACCAGGAATTAACACTGTGACCGGTGGTATTTTATATTACGATCCTAATAAAGATCGTGAAGAATTAGCAAAGATGGTTACCGTTATGTGCTTACCCTATACTTTTCCTTCTAATCCTAATTTTGTGCATTATATTAGAAAAGTTTTTAATCCTACTTATAAAGGTTGGCCTCGCGCAACAGTTAAGAGCGATATTTATAAATATAAACATGAATATGAACAATATTTGCGGTATTTATTTACTCATATAACTAATCGGATTTCTATTACTACTGATATTGGTAGAAGTAATAATGACTGTGATTATCTAACTGTTACAAGTCATTGGATAGATGAGGAGTGGATAATGCAAAAACGCATTATTGCATATAGAATAATTAATTCACGTCACACAGGTAAGTTTATTGCTAACACTGTTGCAGATATTTGTAGATATTTCTGCATTAGAGATAAAATAATGGCAATTTCTATGGATAATGCTTCTAGTAACACTAGTGCTATAGGCATACTTACAACAACACTAAATCCTGCATTTAGTAATATATTCCATGTGAGATGTATTTGTCATATTATCATTTAATTGTCGGTGATGGTATGCGAATTTTTAAATTAGTAAATTGAAAAAGGTTTGAAATGGCTC